AAGAGAAGTTGGCTTTGCGTGTTCAGTATCATGTGTGCTATAGCAAACAATTTCCTGATTCTCTTTCACCTTGCGTTTATAGCTGGGATGAGAACAGAGCGCATAGGTTAATACAATCACTTCGTAGTTACATGACGAAACTTCGCTCAACGAGTGAATCTGGTTGCGTGCGCTCTAAAATAAGAACATCGAAATTTGAACAAAAGTTATCGGAGTCACGATTTGGACTTGCTTTTATTGTCAACTGTTGTTTTTGGCTGCGGTTTGCCATGCAAGAGTTATCACTAACATGTTGAGTTATGGGTAAAACATTTCGCCCCAGGCGAGAATCAATCCGCACCTCTCCCTTCTCGCAAACGGGCAAGCCAGACACAATTTTTGTCTATTTCTGAAAATTGTTAAGAAGGTTTATTCTACCCAAGTGCCAGCCTTTTGTAATGGATTGGTGGATCGGTGAGTAAGTGACTGCCCAAATTTTCGAGGTTAGGTCAAAATTTCAGAATTCGCTAGAAGTTTGCAAAGGGAGAGTCTGACTCCCTGATTACGAATATCATACTTGTTCGAAGCAAAAATGCCTGGCGCCTGCGCTACAAGCGCCCAAAGTAGTGAGGAGCGATGCCGCCCAAGTTCGTTATTAATTGCCCTTAAATTCTTTGTACTGTTAACTATACGCAAGCATGTTGGACTAGCGATGTTAGGAATCTTCCTAGCTATCTTACTGCAAACGGCAAAAGAACAAACTCGCCAGGGAGTCGATCCCCTGACCTCTTTTTCGTGAGCCTCGACCACAGCCCCTGCGCTTTTCTGCTTCATAATTCCTTTCAGAGAAGAGTTCAGCAGATAAGGAACACATATTTGAGCTCAGCGTCCCAAGGCGCGTATACACATATACATCTCATTTCAAATGGCCGGGTTGACCAAATGACCTTTCCTGGTTAAGCAAAATTCCTGCTTTCGTGGACGTGACACTAACAAATTCTATCAGATACTCCAAAAAGTCTTACTTCAACGCATATGTACATAACAGTTGTCGTTCTTGGCTTTCCCGTGATATCACAAGTAGTTCCTTGGCTGTATAATACAGGATAATACGCATATTCTTCCCCATCTATGACCCTTTTCGGAGGATTGTCATAATTAGCAGGAGCGCTCTGGAACACTGCTCGTTATGTGGAAACAAGTCGCCTGCCCAAAACGAGAAAAAAATTGAAACTTTGGAAACCTTGAAAATGAAAAACACCCACCAGGGTTGAATAGTCTACGTGAAGGTTTCCAAGGTAGTACTCCGCGGTTCGGCCAACTCCTCGAATGTCTTTTTCTTCATGATACTGTACAATATAACGTCCATGACACAACTCGTAAGTCCAGTACGGTTCAACACGGTAAGAACACAACTTTTCTTTATAGAATGGAGCGATTAGTTCAGCTGGTGAGAGACCCGTGTAAGCAGATACGTCTTGCTCGAGCTATAAATGAAACGTTGAGAGAAAATGGTACTGGACCTAGCTGAAGCACCACGCTTTCTACTACACATCGCATTTTCACACACAAGGCCGGACTTTCTTGACTGCGGTACTGGTAGCACACGGTCACATCAGATAGTATCAAGAGCATCATAAAGCACATGTAATATCGATTTTCGATGCCATCGTCACGTGTGCTACCACGTCTGCGATTACGACACGTTTCGTTGCAGAAAACAGGGGGTGGGTACAACACCGTATACAGCCCATATCTCGCCGTCTGAGTAGTCGCGTCTATGGATTGGACGTGGTGTCGTCGCAGGAAGTAATCGTGTATGATACTACTCTCCGCCACCGCCTTGCCGATTCCAGCTTACTGTGTTGAAAATGATTATGCACACAAACTTCCTGATGTCGGCGGGTCTCTCTGCGTAACGGTCAGCCCCTCCCGGTGGTTCGCCGTGTGGGTTTAGCTTATTCAGTACGTGGAACAGAGCTGCATATCTGCTTGCAAAATATGTTTACTAGTTCAAGCCATGGCTTATCCGAGGGGCATGTGGTGGGCAACAGTTCACACATCAGCTAAAGTTCCAGGCGAGCCCTCAGATGCGGACGATGTCGGCTTTCGCAGGCGAAGAGTATGCCCCTGCGGATAATGTAGCAGAGCCGTGACGCGCGCCGCGCAGCGCCTCTGTTCGCCCGCCAGCTCCGCTGTCTGACTCTGGCCAATTAGCACAGAGAGAGACAGAGAAAAAGAGAGAGAGTGCAGTACGATGAGTGGCATCAATGTGGAAAACAACGGGCAAGAAATGGTCCCGTTGCTCAGGTTCCGAACCGTATCTCGACGATTTTCTTCCTTCCTGTACCACTTATCACGTTTACCTTGGCTTCCAAGCAGTGCCTGTTCATCGTAAACCCAGCCTTTAATGGATACAAGAGCGCGATCACAGTTAGCGATCGTGTTGCAGCGAGTGTGGAGTGGGTACGTATCGATCATGCAGTCGCTAAACGACGCATCTGCTCGCGCTATGCGAAGGAAATGGCTTAGATAATCGCAATTTTATACTTCGTCCCATTATAGAACGAAATCCAACGGGTCTAGCTTACAAAACCAAACTTGAAACTTCGTAAGTACTACAACAACTAATCATCCGAAATACTCACTGTAGTTGTTGGTTTTGGCAGCTTGCAGATATAGTTCTCATTATTTTGTGTGGATATCCGCAATGAATTATCGTCCTTGAGCGCTTTCTCGTTTTCTTCCTCTAACAATTGACCACCTGCAAGCCCATTCTCGGCAGTATCGAATGTGACGAAATAATGCACACTGTCGTCGACTTTGGCTGCAGAAGCATAGCTCAGAAACAGTAAGAAAGACGATATTCGATGCATACTTCTAGAGAAGAGACTGTTGCGCCAAGGTGGCGTTTGGTGCAGGTAGGTCCGGTGCAATTACGGGCTTTGTCCACGCCGCCGTCGCGACGCAAATTCACGGTCACTAGGCTGACTCGTCCTTGCGATTGGTTCGCTAGCTCGTTATTAATTTTACGTCCTATTAAACTCATCATCTCATTGTCTGGTTGTCTGAATGCGCGGGAAAGTTATTATTTCCCATCCAGAGAATTCCTGAAACCAAAGTTGACTGTCCTGCAGTTAAAGAAGTGCTGGCATACTGTTTCCTATTCTAGCGCTCACTATGACTCTAAATGCCTAGATTCTCTTTGGCCGAATCCCATCACATTCTCGGATGCAAATTTTTGGCTGGGTGTAAATTTATGAGACCTTTCCTTCTTCTATCTCGAAATCTTTGGTCGAACTCAGATATCTTTGATGTATTACGGGCATGATCTAATCATATGAATGTCCTTTTTGTGGCTTAGCAGTGACAGTTAAATACGCTTTCACTTTTGAAATTCCTCGTCATTTAGAGCACATAACATTTGGAATGATCAATCTTAATCCTTGGTCTCTTCTAACCAGGAAAGGCATTCAACTTCCCATGGAACTTTGAGATGAGACCCAGATATATCGATAGAGCTTCAAACGCTGATTACAAATATGGAAACTAAAACTGCAAAATGAACCTGCCAAGGAAGTTGTGAGCAGTCAAAGTTGGCTGGAAGTACGAATAACGTGGTAGCCTAGTACTTTTAAATCCGCGTGAAGTCGTGGTAATGCTCTCGGAATTCGATCCATGACGAAAAGAAGAACGATATGACTTATGGTACATATGGAACGCTTCACTTCCAGCCACCTGGGTGCTCGCAACTCCCTTGGCACGCTCATTTTGAGTTCTGTCGTATAACTTCGTATAACTAAAAAGTTCCAGGGAAGTTAGTCTTCTTCTTCTTCTTCTTCTCCCTAGCGTTAGTCCCGCGCAGTCGCAGGGTCCGCTGTCTTTATCAGTCGTCGCCACTTCGCTCTGTCTAGGGCATCTTCTGCTGTGGCCGTGATTTCACTTAGGTCCTTCTTGATTACGTCCTTCCACCTCTTCTTTGGGGCTCCTCGCGGTCGCTTGCCTTGCGCTTCGAAAGTCCATTGCTTCCTTATTGGGTGGTCCTGTGGCCTCCTTAGCACGTGCCCATACCATCGCAGACGCTGTTCCCGTACCTTCAGCTGGACAGGGGCAGTCTGCATGACCGCTCTGACCTCCTCGTTTCTGACCCTGTCCAGTCGCGTCCAGCCGCAGGCCCATCTCAGCATCCTCATCTCAGCGGAGTGCAGCTGCCTTTCGTGATTCTTGTTCAGGGGCCAGCACTCGCTGCCGTATAGCATCGCAGGCCTCACCACTGCCCGATACACCTTTCCTTTCAGTGTTCTGGAGCACCTTCGATCGCAGAGGATCCCAGTGGACTCCCTCCACTTCATCCAGGCGCGTTGATTCGTGCCTTTACTGCCTGATCCACACTTCCGTCGGCTGCCAGATCGCTCCCGAGGTATCTGAAGTCCTCCACTCTTTCGATGATCTCTCCATGGCCGTCTACGATCGGCTCTAATCCCCTCTTCAGAGCTCAGGAACTTGGTCTTCTTGACATTCAGCCGAGCCCCCTTCTGCCAGGACCTTCTGCCATTTCTGCACCTTGGCCTGTAGTTCCTTCTCTGCTATCCGCTATCAGGGCGATGTCGTCAGCGTAGAGGATGGTCTTCAGTGGTCCTTCCATGAGCCCCTTCACCAGGACATCTAGTGTTAGGAGGAAGAGGAACGGGCTCAGAGCTGACCCTTGGTGCACCCCAACCGTGATGTCCACCTCCTTCGTTAGGCCGTGTGGGGTGCGTATAGCTGCCTTCGCCCATCGTACATGTCCTTCACCAGAGAGATCAGGTGTTCTGGCACATTCCGTTCCCTGAGCGCTCTCCATAGTACTGTTCGAGGTAGTCGGTCGAACGCCTTCTCCAGGTCGAGGAAGGCTAGGTAGCAGGGTCGGCGCTTTTCTCGGTACTTTTCCATCACTTGCCTCGCGATGAAGATGGCATCCGTTGTAGACCTTTCGGGCATGAACCCGAACTGTTCCTGGGAGATCGGGACCAGCTCCCGCAGTTTCGAGTCGACCAGTCGCTCGTACAGCTTCATTGGTATGCGCAGTCAACTTGATCCCGCGGTAGTTGGAGCAGTCCATCGCGTCACCCTTCTGCTTGAAGATGGGGACGATAGTGCTTGTTCTCCAGGCATCCGGCATCCTTCCTTCGGTGGTTACCGTGTTCAGGAATTGGGTAAGCCATCTGATCCCGTACTCTCCGAGCGCCTTCCATGCCTCGATTGGCACCTTATCTGGACCCACCGCCTTTCCAACCTTCATCTTCCTTAGTTCTTGACGAACCTCATCCTCTGTCCATAGTGAGATAGGGCCAGCCGTCGCCTCTGCTTGCGAGCTGTCTTTGTGGGGTACTCCTCGTTCAGGAGCGCTTTGTAGTACTCCTCCCACCTCCTCCTGACTTCAGTTGGCTTCCTCAGGATGGCACCCGTTACTGCTCTTCACGCTCTTCACCACCCTAATGTCTTGGGTAGCCCGATGCCGGGCTTTGGCCAGTCTGAAGACGAACTTCTCTGCGTTTCTGCTTCCAACTTCTCGTACAAGGCGTCCATTTCCGTGTTCTTCGCCTTGGCGACGGCTGCCTTAGCGAGCCTCTTGCAACTCTTGTAGGCAGCGAGGTCTTCGGGGCTCCGGGTCTTCTGCCAGCGCTTGTATGCTTCCTTCTTCTGCTTCACGACTCGCTGGACCTCCTCGTTCCAGAACCACGCTGCCTTGTCTCCTCTGAATCCACCTCGCGTCTCTCCCAGTACCTCCTTGGCGCATCGTAGGATGATCTCAGCTGCATTGCCCCAAGTCTGCTGCACTGGTCCCTCAGGATCTGGGAGACCAACTTCCATTATCCTTCGTTTGAGGTCGCTCTTCTCTGCTCGGTGCAACTTCCACCACCGGATTCTCCTCTCGGTTCTTACCCTTGTCTTCTTGGGAAGGTCTATGGCTATGTCTGCCAGGAGGGGCCTGTGCTGAGGAGCCAGTTCTTCGCCAGGAATTACCTTGATATCCTTCACAGTTTTGAGGGATGATCTTCTTACCAGTACATGGTCGATTTCGTCTGTCTTCCTTCCCTCCACTGCTGTAGGTGACCTTCTGAGTCTCCCTTTTCGCGAAGAACGTGCTGCAGATTGCCAGATCGTGGGCAGTAGCCAGGTCCAGGACCCTCTCTCCCTCGGCGTTCCTCACTCCTATTCCTCTACCTCCGTGCACCCTTTCAAGGCCTCTTCTGTCGCTGCCGACGTGCCCATTCAGATCACCTGCTATGGTCAAGTAATCGCCTTCCGGGATCGATCTGATGGCTTCGTCAAGCCTTAGGTAGAACTCGTCCTTCTCACTCTCGGGGCATCCGGTCTGCGGAGCGTACACTGACAGTATTGACCAGTACCCCTCCTTCGTGTCTATCCTCACAGCCATGATCCGATCGCTGATCCTGTTCACAGCGGAGACATAGTCCTTGAGCGACTCCGCTACCGCTATGGCCACACCGTTCCGCTTGGTGTCTTCTCCATTGTAGTAGAGTTTGACACCTTCCCCGATTTCCCTGGCCTTAGCACCTTTCCATCGCGTCTCCTGAAGGCATAGGACTTGAATTTTTCTGCGCGTCATCAGATCAGCAACCTCTCGGGACTTCCAGTTAGCGACCCTACGTTCACAGTTCCAATTCGAACTAGCTTCTTTGGCCGAGGCCGTTCCCTCCTCGGTAGCCCTCGCATACTGACCACAGAACTCGGGCGGGGGTTCTGCGCGCCACTTCCGGGTGACGTCCTAGCTTTATCACTGATTCTTTGCAACTTTTAGACATGGTTGGTGTGACTGGGGTATTCATCAGCCGGCCTGTCAACCTGGGCCTGACGCTGGTACTAGAACCATTTTTGCAATTTTTGCAAGGCATGGTTTAGCCTCGGCAGGGATCGAACTCGCGGTTTTTGGAGGTGCAGACATGAGTCTAACCTCTTAACCACTCGGCTATCCCTGCCTTAAGTTCAGTGGCTTGTCATTAATAAAAAGACCCTTCTGTGAGGCGTGTGTCCACCAGGGGCCGTATTCAATCCTTCCCCAGGGTTGGGGGACGAAAATCCCTTTAAATTTTCTCTGTCTTCCCAACTGGGATTGTCCTGATAAAGGGCCTAGGTTTAATGTATGTATGTATGTCACAGTAAGCATGCATTGAAAATGAAGAAACTACATCGTTAAAACAAATAAATTTAAAGGGATTTCCGTCCCCCAACCCCTGGGGGAAGGATTGAATACCCGCCACAGGACGGAAAGCGACTTGCTCGTAATTCGCAACGGGAAGCATTTTTCGCTGCGGGGACCTCAGATCCACTGATGATCAGCGGTGGGCCTGGGGTTCCACAGCGAGAATTCAGTGCGAAAAATTCGCTTTGTCCTCAGTGAACCACACTTGATCCCTGTCAGGCTTATAGGTAGGAAGTGAAAGTGTGAGAGCAGCCCTGAACTTGCATGGTGCTACCGTTTTCTTAGGAAATTAGCTGAAGGGGGGTCATCTCCACACCCAAACAGCATATCAGCGAAAGCGAATTTGACCATGACATTCCGAATAAGCTTGCTTATACCAGTCCACCGTAGTTCTTATTCGAGTGCGGTGACAATCAGGGTGGATGATTCGCTTTTGAGTTTTGGATGTAATCGCTACAGTGATGCGGTGGTTTGAATTCGCTCAGTCTAGGCGATACTGTTCTGAGCAACATGAATGGCTGGTGAACCGTGAAACGGCATCGAATCAGTTGACCAAGGTGCTCAGTGTTTTTTCAGACCTTGCTGTTAATCCTAAGAGACATGAAGTTATAATAAAATATTTCGTTCCGCGGAAATCAAAGGTTATCTGAGATGTTAGCTCACGATTTTTTGAAGAAGGACGATCGGACGTTCAAACCGACATCTTCTTCTCGGTGAGGATTCACTTTATTAGTTACTGTTCTACTAAATGTTCCGCTTAGTATTCAAAAGTTCCGGCTACGTGGTAAAAGAACTCGAAAAAGGGAGTTTGAGGATTGACTTTGTTGTGAAACATTTTTTTTAACCTTGTGGTCAATTTTGTAAGATGCAACTCAGGTAGAGGCATGTAAAGGCATTCTTGTGCACCTGAAGAGTGCTTATCTTCTTGACACGCAGGTACGGTCACCCAGATTGAATAAGAGATGTTTACCACCTACAGTAGCAGCGAGCAAGAACCGACATGACCATCCTAAGCTAACCCCTTGATACCTACGATGAGTAATTCAGGTCAGCATGGTATTTTTGTGTTTCTGGTGCTGACGAAGATTCTTCGATGTATCGGCATATTTTTTCTCGACATTTTAGCAAAGGGAATTCATGTAGTTAGTCTGCTATGGCTCGTTAAAGTGATGTGAGTTTGATTTTTTTCTATCGCATCAGTGGCACGTTATTCCACTCCAGTTATTATAACGCACAAAACTAGCTTGTTCTCTTTTCAGTGCATCAGCACTTCTCTTACCCATCCAGAAACCTCTTTCACATGGGCATACTTTGAGGAAACCAACGGTAAGTTTGTCGTACGTACTGAAAATTAACATCTGTTCAGAATAAGATTTTAGTTTATACGCATTGGAAAAATGGCATTAGTCAATTGTTTGATAGAAGTGCTCTGGTTTTATGGAATCACCTTTTGTGGCCCTCTCAGGTTTGTCGGTCAAATCGACGTGGTACAAGATTCCTCAGCGCCTCGGTTACGTTTTCGGTCATTTTATCTGTACTTCAGGTCTGTGTGCTAGTTTTCGAGTTGAGCCCTTCTGTTTTGTTGGTAGCATGGCATCCGTTTTTAAGGTGAGTGACGACTGGCTCTATCCAAGTCCTGAATCGAATAATCTATTCTAGGGAAATTCTTCAACGGCGAAAAGTAGGGGTTTATTCTTTCTAGTCATTGGATATTTATCGCTTCTGCTGTTGGATCGAGATCACTCAGTAGAGGATCCACATGGTTTGTGAAGATATTATTTCCAAAAATTAATTGATTGACACGTAATTTTTGAGGCAGTCCACATGTACTCCTCCAAAAATTGAGTATTAATCGAGCTTTCGCAACATGAGTAGCGGTCGAAGTGGGCAGGAGCTTCCAATCTAGGCGTTATTGCTCATCGCGTCGGCTCCCCCACTTTCTTCACGATTTGGGGCGCGGCCGCGGCGAGCGCGGACGAGTCGATAGTGCCCGCGAACTGTGGTGGTGATGCGTTTTCAAATTTACCCACACAGTTCGCGGGCACTATCGACTCGGCCGGGTTTGCCGCGGCCGCGCCCCAAATCGTGAAGAAAGTGGGGGAGCCCATCGCTTGCTATTGGTGTGAGCTAGGATTCCATTTCATACATTACTCTTTCCTTGAGCTCTATCATCCAGACTACCCAGTTAAGGGTCTTTCGCGCTCTTACGCTGCATAGGGCATCAAGCGCAAGAGCACGCACCTCATCCACGTTTCACAGTGATGCCCCCTCTACTCAGACTTGGCATTCTCTATTTGAATATAATCCATACCCAACCATCCTGTGTCCGGCAATCTCGATGCGCTACCCAACGCCACTGAAAAGGATCTAGATATGCAAATGTTTTCGCTAAAGTGCTTTCGTCGTGAAAGGCAGGGTACTGAGACATCTCGTACAGTCTCAAAGATTTGAAAATATGGACTTTGTATCTCACATTCTCCGAGCGTGAATCAGCTTCAATCACGATCTGACAACGTCATGTTCCTGTTGGTTTCTCATTGTTTCTTCAATTAGCCATCCACCATATTCACGGGTAGTTTGGACTGGGCGCAGTGTTATACCAAATCAACAAGTGGCAGTAACCTAACTCAAACAATTTGGAGGTTCTGACAGCAAAAGCCCAACCTTTTCCGAATGCGATCCTTTTGAGCAGTTGGCAAGAGCTACGAAAGTTGCTTTGCACTGGGAACTAACACCTAGCAATACCAGGGTCACTGAAAAACACCAACGACTTGATTGGCCTGATTTGAAAGCAAAGTCAGACAAATGCTTTTTTTCTCTTGAGGTCGCTCGATTTCCACTTTGCGAAAAAACTGGAGACTCGGCGCGACCGTCAGAACTCAATGGAGTTCTACAAGAGGTGCATTTAACTCTTGGCCTTGCGTTAACGATGCGCTGCTAATAGTGTCGGTATATACTAAAGAAATAAGTAAAGCAGAGAAATAAAAAAGTAATCGCACTCCCCCCAAGTACAACGGTGTCCCAGAAGTTATACGAGCATAACAGACATACCTGAAGCATTTCTATTTTGGGAATTGCATTGAAGTAAAAGTGCTTTTGAAAACTTTTCATTTTCTCAAAATGCTCATCATTTTCTTCGAATTTCTCTTTAATCATCTTTTATCTCCTCTTCTGTTGTTTTTTACCGATTATTACTTTTATTCTTTACTTCTTCAGCTTTGGATTCATTCCGTGAATGCTTCGTCCGATCTCTCTCGTAGCAGCTATTTGTTTAGGTGTAACGTGGCCATCACAGTGGACGAACATTTGTTCTATTCAGCCTTATTTGCCACATTTTGGTAAGTGATCATCAGGGAGGCATAGCTATTCTATTTCTGGCGTTACTTCTTCGTATTGGTAAGTGAAGAATTAGACGTTCATTCCAAGATGTAGGGGAATGAATGTGTGTCTTGCTCCCTGGTAAAAATTTGATCAGAATATTTATCTCATTGACTTTTTTTTTGGTTCGATTTACCTACAGTATTGCAAGACCCGAGCCAGCTAAACTTAGGGTTAATCTCATATTTTCTTTGAGATATTTTTGTCAGCATTTGATTTCGTTCTCTATTCACTTACTTTATGTGGATTCATGCGATTAGTGATACTTAATTAAGGTTACGATAATTCATTCCGTCATCTCGCGGTTGAGATTGGTGGACCCAAGCGACTGTACTCTCTCGTGACCACGTGTTCAGCCATGATCCTCACTCCTATCGGAGTGCTTTCACTGGTTATGAAGACGGTTTGTATTCTGGTCTATTTTGGCGGTTTTATGCTAAAAATGAAAATTCCGTTATTTTTCAGTCCGTCACTGACTCTCTTCTACATTTCATTATTCTGCTTTTCATAGCAACAGTTTTTGTTATGGTTCTTGATTTCTATGCCGAAAGTGTATGCTTCCAGGTACGTGAGTTGGCATTATCTTCTTTTAACGACTACTGAACAATTATTGCAGCATGTCGCTGACCCTGTAATGGCTGCTGCTCGTTGGTCACCGGGGACAATGTTCAGCTGTGCTCTTGGGTTGGCATGGCTGTGGTACGCTGGTCAAGGATTACAGGAACATATTGTGACTTCCGGCGTCATCATTACAGTGATTGCTTTTTATTTTAAGTATATGATTTCTTTGTGCATGGGTGCTTCAGGATAACTTTTACCTTTTTTCAAAAAAAAAACCAAATGAAAAGAGAACGAAAACTTTGAGTTCTAGTTCAACACAAAAAACATTTATCTTGTTCACTGTGACTTCAGCTTCGGTGTCGTTAACGTCAGCTAGTGGTCGCCGAAGCACAGAGGTGGTGGCTGATTGGGATGTCCGACACTGGGTTGCCGCTTTTCGCATATAAAGAGGCTTTCCTTCAGAAAACAGGCCGTTCGCTTGTTCTATTTTTCAAGGTAATTTTCACTTCAAGTCCTTATTTCGTAAAGGGATCAGCAAGTAGCTTGTTGTCCTGAAACCATGGGTTTCTAGTTGGTGGGGACACAAGAGGTGTAGCTCATGATCATTTACAGGAGACTCTTCGCGAAATTCTGGCCAACTCTGACTCCCGACGCATATTTTGGTTCCTATGCGTCAATCTGTCGTTCTGTGGCGTCGAGTTTCTTTACGGATTCTGGACTAATAGTCTCGGTCTCATCTCTGATGGATTCCACATGCTCTTTGACTGTTCAGCCCTTGTTTGTTTTTTCGTTCTAGAGCATGGATACTGAATATGCATTCGATCGTGTGTAGTACATTTTGTAGGTGATGGGTCTTATCGCTGCAGTCTGTTCGTTGCCGGCCTACTAGGTAGGCATTCAGTTTATTGGCTATGGAAGAGTCGAGGCTCGTTTTTTTTTTCAGATTTCTCGATGTCACAGCTCTCTTTTTTCTCTTTCCGCTTATTATTTATCAGCTTTTCAGGTCCTCTCAGGATTTATCAATGCGCTATTCTTGTGTGTCATTGCCTTATTCATTTTACTTGAAGCTCTTGAGAGGTTGTTTGATCCGCCCAACATCAACACTGATAGACTTCTGGTATGTTTTGTCATCCTTTAGTTCTGTTGCGTTCAATTAGTACTTTCCTGGAAACTGTTCTCATATATGCACCTTTCTCCAGTTTGTCGCGGTTTCGGGCCTGTTGGTCAATTTATTCGGAATGTACTCCTTCCACGGTGGCGAAGGAGATCACGGTCATGGTCATTCCCATGGTGGTGGCTCTCATGGACATTCTCATTCAGGAAATGCAAACATGGAAGGTGTGGTAGTTTGTTTTCTGAATTGGACTATGTACTATGAATGTTCCAAATGATCGATTTTCCTCTAATTTTATGCTGTGATCGTGCACATCATCTGTTCTTTGCTCGATTTTAGGTGTGTTTCTTCACGTTCTGGCAGACACACTGGGCTCGGTTTTCGTTATAATCTCGACATTGCTTATCCAGTGGTTTGGATGGACTTGGGTGGATCCACTTTGCTCCCTGATCCTCTCGGTTCTCATTCTTGGATCAGTGTATCCCCTTCTCACAAGTAGTGTTAACACACTATTGCAGGTGAATCTTTTTTTTTCAAGTTTTGGGTAATGAGATAAGGGGTATGGCAGTGTTTGAAGCTAGTTAACAATATGCCGAGTTAATATTGCTTTTGTGGCCTGTTGCTAGAATTTTCCAAATAGGTACCCCAACGTGTTTATAGGATGTCTGTATTTCTTCAAAGAGACTTGTGCGCTAACATTGTTTGCTGGAATCAGTTAATTATGAACGCTAATTGTGAGCGATCCTCTTCATGTGGTAGAAAATAAAACAAAAAGATAGCTTGTCGAAAAGTGCTGAATAATGAGACTCGCTTCTGTTTGAGCGGTAGAGAGCACACGAAAGAGCGTAAAGGATGGAGACAGAGTTTGTGGAAGTTCTCCTGCATGTAAGTAGAGAACAAATAGAAGGCGCGAGTAAAAGAATGAACGAGGAGCACGTACCGCAGCGGCTGGCTTGCAAAAAGCGTGACCATAAGAACTCATGGGCCACGCATTTTGCCTCGCAAAAGTGGCGGTTCCTCTTGGCAATCCTATTCACAGGAGCAAGAAATAAACAAACAAACGCGAAATTGGCTTTATGACAGTGTGCCCTTCATTTATGTGTAATGACATTCAAGGTAATTAATCTATTTGTAGAATATCCCAGACGACGAAGAATTCGAACATCATCTATGCGAGGCGTTAGAGGTATCTTTTATTGTGATTCTTTCAGTTTTTGATTTATGTTTCTATGCACTCTTTTCTTCAACTGAGGATAGTGATAAAGCAACCCGTATCTCTCCTGTGCTCCTTTAATCTCATTGACAACCGCCGTTGTGTGTGCATTGCGGCAACTTTTTTTTTCATATTATTTTCGGCAACATGTAGTTTTTCACTTCTCAAAAATTTAATAACATTAGTAATTTCTACTGAAATGTATGGTATTGAAATTCATTAGATAATGAACTCATACCATACATTGGAGCGCTTCGAACACGGAAAATTCATGTATTATGCAATTGAGCAAAACGAATCTCGTCAGTGTCGTCCCATCGGAGTGCGATCGACGGACTACTTGAACTCAGCCCTTTAAACCGCCTCTGCGTTCTTTCGTGGGTCCCTCTCCTCTCCAAGGCTTAGTCCTAGGGCATTCACCCCGTTTTTAATCGTCTGTGCTCTAGCCATCGTGGCAGGACCGTGGAGGAAAAATCAAGTAGTCCGTAAACGCCGGAGTAACCTTATTAACGCTTGTCGTCAATGGTTTATAACGCGAACGATAATGCACATCGCACTTCTGTGTTTAACCCGTTTTGTTTTTGACTTCGCTGCGCAGTGGAGTCTAACAGTGGCTGCCACGAAGTGCTGGGACATCATCAGCCCTGCTGCCAAAAAGCTCACTCGGGACAATGGCTCACCGGGGGGGGGGGGTTCAAATGGAATTTGGAAGTTTTGTTTTCTGAAAAGAATCTTGTTTTGTTTTCTGAAAAGAAACTTCATGCCCTCATTCATCTACGAAATCCCTTGGTAGAGGAAATCTCCGTCCAATCAAATTTATTCAAAGAATTTTCTGGGCCACTCTGGCATTGCGCAATCCGGCGCTGTTCCGATACGGGTAGGACCTTGAATCAGCGCGGCGGCATAAATGTGGTCTAAAGATAAACTGTGTGCTTGCTTCGGTTTTTTCTTCATTTTTGCAGAAGTATTGCCAGGATATCACAGTTCTCAATAATAATTCACTGATCAGGGAATAAAAAAAATTAATTTGTCAACAATTTAGGTTGATGGAGTGAAGTCATATTCGAAAGCTCACTACTGGCAATTGAAGAGTGATCTGAATGTTGCGTCGGTTCACATCCAGGCCACTCCGGAGGCGAATGCGCAGCTGATTCGAAATCATAATGGGGGGGGGGGTTTGACGCGACCATTTAACTTCCAACTCTAATTACGTCTGAAGAGCGGTTGTTTTTTTTTGTGACTGTGTATTCTACAATCAGACTTGAAACTTGACTTGACGAAAACAGCGGAAATGGGTGACGGCACATCCCAGCAATTTGCTTTTTGTAGGTGGCAGCGCAACTGAGAGCAGCTGGTGCTACGCAGTGTTCTGTGCAGGTGGAGAAGGACTTCTTCACTCAACGAATTCAACAGCTGTGCCCGTCTTACAGATTTGGCCACAACGTGAGCTGTCTAATTGAAAGTTTTTGGGATTATTTTTTTGGCAAGCGTTTTTGCTCTCGTAGTGGGGATGGTTGATGATCTTCTCCTCTCTTTATTATAGCTTGCTGTTCATGTAATATTAATACATGATATTATAGCATACGTTTAAGGTGGCTCGAGGGACAACCATTGCTCGTGAACGGAAGTCCCACTCGAATCATGGCCATGGTCATTCCCACAACGGTCACGATCATGGGCATTCTCATTAGGCTGTTGATATAGGAATTGTGAGCAAGTGCCTTCTTCTCAAAATTGTGATTCTCTGAAAGGATGAAGTGGAATATTTGAAAACGATTCTAGTTTCGAAAATTAGCAAAGCTGCGTTAGTATTCTGTATTTATTTATTCCGTTTGTCTTTACATTCGTAGATGACGTTGTCAGGGTGAGTGGGTTCTCATATTTAAGCATGTTACTGTTTCTCTCCTTCTTATCATTCTTGTGATCATATATTTATTACTGTTGTTGGTTGTTTCTGTGATCACTCCTACTGTGGGTTTTTTCATGTGCTATGCGGTATC